ATCAAATTCCAATAGGAAAAGGCGGTAGCAGGAACCTTTTCTGAACCAAAGATTTCATAATAATCTGTTAAACAATCTCCTACTCTTTGCCATCTTTTTGCATCTATGATTCCTACAAGTCCTCTATGAATGAGAAAAATAATTCTAAATTCTTTTTCTTAACCCGCGTTCCCCGTGTCTTGAAGGCCTCCTTGAGGTCTGACAGAAATAGATCATGTGACGACATTGCTTGTCCCATGGTGGGTCACTCACCATGCACCGTCCCCACTCTCCTCCTGGATGTGTCTCTCCTCGGGGTCTGTCGAGGTGATCTCGCGATCTCGGACTGTACTTGGCCAAGTTTTCTAGGAGGACGATGTTCCTTTCTTAGTCAGAGGCTCGTGCCCCACGTTGGGCGCCAGTTGTCCCGACCCGCAGGACTTCAATGAGGGCAATGAACCTAAGTGAGAAGGAATGAAGGGACAAGAGACACAAAGAATGACAACAAGACAGGGATTCTGATCAAGCTGCTAATTTTTATTTTTCACACAAGGGTATTTATATGCTTGGAATAAGAAGCTTTTTCATTGGCCGAAGCAGCTGCAGGGTGTTGGCTTAGGGCAGGGTGAAAAGGTGGGATTCTATAAACTCAGCCTCAGGATGTTCCAGTGAGATAGTTGGCTCCCAACAGTCATGATTCTTTTTATCCCCGATTGTGGGGCCTGAACTCTGGGCCTGGGCACTGTCCCTCAGCTCTTCAGCTGTCTACTAGCGCTTTACCACTTGAGCCTCAGCCCCACTTCTGGCCTTTTCTACTTATGTGGTGCTGAAGACTTGAACCCAGCGCCTCATGCATGCAAGGCAAGCAGGCTACCATTGAACCACCTTCCCAGCCCCTATTTGTCATGATTCTTAAACTCATTAAGGGTTGTTTTAAAGACATGGATAGTACCATTCTACAGGTATGACTTTACTATCTTCCTTCTCATCCTCCATGTTCCCTCTGTATGCATGGAAGACAACAGATTCTTTTCCTGTACTATTACAGCCAGTGATAGTATTCAACATTCCAGAGTTGACTATTTTATACATAAGTAAATGTGTCTTAAGATCAACTGCTTTTTCCACAGTAGAATGTTCTTTCTTTCCATGAAGGCAGGCACTCTGACATTCTTCTGAATAGGCATGCTGTGTTTTTTTTTTTGGGGGTCCAGTCGTGGGGCCTGAACTCTGGGTCTGGGTGCTGTCCCTCAGCTCTTCAGCTCAAGGCTAGCGCTCTACCACTTGAGCCACAGTGCCACTTCCGGCTTTTTTTCTTTTTGCTTATGTGGTGCTGAGGAATTGAACCCAGGGCCTCGAGCATGCAAGGCAAGTGCTCTACCACTGAGCCACCTTCCCAGCCCTGGTTTTATTTTTGTCCGTCGTGGGGCTTAAACTCTGGGCCTGGGCACTGTCCATCAGCTCTTCAGGTCAAGGCTAGCACTCTACTACTCGAGTCTCATGGACTTACCTGCCTGGGCTGGCTTTGAACCGTGATCCTCAGATCTCAGTCTCCTGAGTAGCAAGGATTATAGGCGTGAACCACCAGCGCCGGTGAGGAGTGGTTTTATAAAAGAGAGGACTGATATAGGGCATGGCTTTAGTGGTAGCGTGCTTGACTAACAAACTCAAATCTTGAGTTCAAGCCTTACTACTATAAGAAAAATGTGAATGAGACCCAGGCTAGCATGCTTGCCCATCTCACATGTATGTCCTCATCCACGTTTAGATGCAGCAAGAAGCTCCTCTCTTCATATCAAGCAGATATTGGTGTCATGTTCTTGGACTTCAAATTATCCAGAATTGTGAGCCAAATAAATTTATATTCTTTATAAAGGACCTATTGTTGAGTATTTTGCTGACAAGAAAGAGCCTATGACACTCACAGTCTTGAAGAATACTAGCTTGTATTCATGTGTAAGATGTTTATATCTAGCCATCCCAACCTCCTTTCAAGTTCTGGGGCCATCTCCACTCCTGTAGCTCCCACCCTGCCTCTACCCAGGCTCTGTGGCAAATGCAGACATTATATAACAGGTAGGAACAGGAATCCTTTTTCTTTGGATTCTCTTTTTTCCAGTATTGTTGAACAGAGTTTTCCATCTGCTAATATTAGCCAGACTTGTTTTCTACTGGTAGCTTAAGATTAGTAAGGAAACTAAATATGTAATTGTACCATCTCAAAACCCAACTAAGATTTACTCCAGAACTGATTTCCAAAAACTCAAGGAATGCTGACCTATACATGATGAAAAAGTGTAAAAGTGAGAACAACATAGTTAGAATAAATTTATTAACTTGTCAATATATACAATCTGAGAATGTAGAAAGATGTGATATTTGATCAGGCATGATTTGAATCACAATAATTACTGTTTTCTGGGCTGCTCAGGGGGATGGCAGAAACGATTAAGAGAAAGGAAAGGGCCTCTAGGAATCTAGACACTGTGATCGGTGACAGAGGTGACAATCCCTTGACACAGGCTTCCTTTGCATATATTTGGCTCAATGTACACACATCAGTGGCCCAGACAAAGACAAATAAAACACAACAGAAAAAATGATTAACAACAGCACACATTTTAATAAATACTTCAAAGAGATTATAATTCTTGCACCATACATAAAAGACAACAAGTATTAACACTTCCATTTTGGAAACAATGCAGAGATAGCATGAGACTCTTGCCATCCTGTTCCAATCAGCTAAGGGGATTCAGAAACTGGCAGGACAGTCTAGCCAGGTAATGAATGGGTTGAGGGATAATGTAGAGGAATAAGGGATAAATGAAAAAAAAAAAGACTCAAAGACTGTGTTCATGAGGTCTCCTTTCAGGGTCTCAGGGTAAGTCTGGATCTCATGCAATTAAGCCACAGGAAAGGGAAAATCCTCCCAGTGAAGGAAGATGAGAATTCATAGATAAACTCTTGAGTTCTCGCGTTGGTAAAGGTCACCTTCCCTCCATCATAATCCAGGGCAACGCCAATCTGCCTTGGACAGTAGGAAAGGATCTGGAAGGGCTCAGGGCTAGTACAAATAAAGACTCCTGCTGAAGACAACTTCAGAGTCCAGAATCCCTCCTCAGGGGTGAAGCTAAGAGACCCTCTTCTCACCACTGACTCTCTGGCCACTCCCACCAAGCAGAATTTGGGCCACATTCCATTCTCCTGAGACCATTCCTCCTCTAACTCTTCGCTCTCATTTCTGTACACAGGAGAGGCATAGCTATCAGCGATACCTAGGAACCCACTGAGATAGCTACTGCCAAACATACCTCTGGTTCCACCTCTGAACTTCATTGCTTCCTCCTCCTCTTCTCCCCACCAGACCCTGTCCACTTTCACTTCCCAGTATACTTTTCCCCAGGTGAAGCCCTTACTGCCCAGCACACCAGGCTCAGGATCAAACCGCTGACCACGCTGGTATTTGTTCATCCACAAGCCAGTGAATATCATACTCTTCCCATTGGGGTACACTAAGAGGTAGCCGTTGGCTGTCTGAGAATTCAGGACGATCTTCACTGTGGGGACAAGGGGATAAAGGTATGACACCATGAAAGCTATCAAGGGGACTTTTCTCATAGGCTATAGTTCCTTTCTGATAGTAGCCTCCTTTAGGGACCAGGATGGTCGTCGTGGGGCCTGAACTCTGGGCTTGGGCGCTGTCCCTCAGCTCTTCAGCTCAAGGCTAGCATTCTACCACTTGAGCCACAGCGCCACTTCCGGCTTTTTTCTATTTTGCTTATGTGATGCTGAGAAATTGAACGCAGGGTCTCATGCATGCAAGGCAAGCGCTCTACCACTGAACCACCTTCCCAGCCCGAAAATATTTTAGATCTTATGTTCACATTACCCTTAATTCCCATATTAAGATCATGGAAAGGCAGTATGAAAAGACCTGTAGGAGCATGGTGGTACTGAAATCTCAGTACTTAGGTAAGACAGGGGAAGGTCAAAGTTGGAGGTTAGCTTGGATTATATAATAAATTCCATGTCAGCCTAGGACACACACAGACACAGACACAGACACACAGCCTCCTGGTATGTTAGTAGACACCTGCAATCCCAGCTACTTAGGAGGCAGACTCAGAAGGATTGTGAGTTCAAGGCTGCCCTGACAAAGTTAGTGAGACCCTATGTCAAAAGCAAAATAAGGGCCTGGGATGTGGCTCAAATGGTACAGTGCTTGTTAAGTATATGTGAAGAGCTGGATGATTCAATCCTCCGTACTTTTTGTTTTTCAAATCAAAAGGCTAGGGGTGTGGCTCAGTGGTAGAATGCTTTCCTAGCATGTAGTAGGCTCTGGGTTCAATCTTTAGTTACACACACACAGACATACACAATCATACACACACACACACACACACACACACACACACACACACACCAATATACACCCCTGTGAGAAGAAATGGAGAGGGCCTGGGCTCCTTATAGTTGTGGAAATCTTTCCTCCAAAGTTCATAGTTTTTATATCAGAATAAAGAATTAGGATGGATTAGCACCACCAAGACCTTCCTATTTAAAGAAATGATCCATACATAAAATAATTTTCTCAGGGAGCTTGTGATTCTGTGTGGAAGAACTCACTTTGTTTGAGGCAAAAATTTGTCTACCACCCCCACCAGATACTTACTTGTTTTATATTCCAGATCCCTCATTAACTTTCCTAGAATGAAGGAAGAACATTATATTACAGTAAACCGATTCCGTTGTGTGTGTGTATGTGTTTTTTTGTTTTTTTTTTTTTGGTGGGTCATGGGGCTTTAACTCTAGGCCTGGGAGCTGCCCCAGAGCTTATCAGCTTAAGGCTACTGTTCTACCACTTGAGCCACAGTGCCACTTCCAGATTTTTCTGTTTATATGGTGTGAGGAATGGAACCCAGGACTTCATGCACGGGAGGCAACACTTTACTGCTGAGCCACCTTCCTAGCCCCAATAAACCAATTCTGACAGCACATCTTCCTAGGTTAGATTTTCCTTTTTTTTTTTTTTGGCTTGTAAACTTTAAACAGTGACAGACATTATGAAAATTCACATGAAATAGAGAAAGCAATGGTGTTGTTCCCATGCCAATATTTGCTTAGAGTACCTGCTTTATGAAAGAGTACACTGGACCAAACTGTGTTTTTTCCTCCTGTACTTTTGCACTTGCTAGTTAAGTTATTCTCCCACTTGAGCCATGCCCATCTTGTGTTTTGTTCATTTTTCAGACAGGGCCTTGGACTAGCTTTTTTTCCAGGCAAACCATGATCCTTACTCCTCTCTCCTCCCAAACAGCTGGGACTACAAGTGTCTGCCAGCACACCTGGCTTGTTTTTGAGACATGGTCTTGCTAATTTTTACATGAGCTGGCCTTGAACCATGATCCTCATGTTTCTACCTCCTGCAAATTGGGATTATAACACTTGTTTGGCATGATGAGGCCCGGTGGTTCCATTCCCAGTACCACGAAGAATTAAAAAAAAGGGCTAGAGCCATGGCTCTAGTAGTAGAAGGCTTGCCTAACAGGTGGGATTAAAGGTTTGCACCACCATACCTAGTCCCATACTCTCTTCTTTCATGAATCCTAAAGTCCTAGACCCAAATCACACTACTTTTCTATACTCTTAAGTAAATCTAAGATTTCTTTTCTTTTCTTTTTCTTTTTGGGTCCAGTCGTGGGGCCTGAACTTTGGGCTTGGGCACTGTCCCTTAGCTCTTCAGCTCAAGGCTAATGCTCTACCACTTGAGCGACAGTGCCACTTCCGGCTTTTTTCTTTTTTGGTTATGTGGTGCTGAGGAATTGAACCCAGGGCCTCATGCATGCAAGGCAAGCGCTCTACCACTGAGCCACCTTCCCAGCCCCATAAATCTAAGATTTCTTACAAAGTATTGCTAAATTTTTTAATTGTAGGAAAAGACATCTTTATCATCTTTACCATCTTTATCATGTTATGTTCAGTAGTGTTAAGTATATTCACATTATCATGCAACCAATTTCTAGAACCTTCCCAGCTTGTGAAACTTAAACTCTATACCCAGTTAAATAGCAGCTTCTCACTTTCCTCTTCCCTGAGGCTTCTGGCAGTCAACATTCTACTTTGTTTCTATGAGTTTGACACTCTAAAAACACATGCAAGTCGGCTTACATATTACTTGTCCTTTTATTTTTATTTTTTTAAAGGGATACTTGTCCTTTTAATGAATGGCCTTTTTCACTTAACAAAATGTCCTCAAAGTTCATCCACATTGTTGCATGTGTTTGAGTTTCCTTCCTTTTTAAGGTTTAATAATTTGAATTGCGTGTAGATACACATTTTCTCTGTTATTCATTAGTGGACATTTGGGCTGTTCTACCACTTGGCTATCATAAATTATTCTAATAAACATGGTTACACAAAATATCTATTTTAGACCATACTTTCAATTCTTTTGGAATATATTCATATTAATGAATGCTATGTTTGGGTGGGGGGGAGGGTCCGGTCGTGGGGCCTGAACTCTGGGCCTGGGTGCTGTCCCTCAGCTCTTCAGCTCAAGGCTAGCGCTCTACCACTTGAGCCACAGTGCCACTTCTGGCTTTTTTCTTTTTGCTTATGTGGTACTGAGGAATAGAACCCAGGGCAAACGCTCTACCACTGAGCCACCTCCCCAGCCCATGAATGCTATTTTTAATGATGCTGTTTTTAATGTTTTGAGGAATTGCTGTATTGTTTTCCTTAGTTTACTAGTATTTTTAGACCTGAATCTTTCTTTTGTTTCTTTTTTATGGTACTGGATTTTAATCTCAAGTGTTCTATCATTCAAGCCAAAACTCAAGTCTGATGAATCATCTTTTTGTGTGTGTATGCCTACACTGGGACTTGAGCTCAGTTGCACTCTTGCTTGGCTTTTTCAGTGAAGGATGGCACTCTGCCACTTGAGTCACACCCCCCACTTTTGGCTTTTGTGCTGGTTAATTAGAGATAAGTATCTCATGGACTTTTCTGGCTTCAAACTTCAATCTTCATATCTGAGCCTACTGAGTAGCTGGCTGAGCCACCTGGTACCAGTCCCAACTCATCATTTTTATCCAACTCTGGGACCTATTATGATTGTACCTTTGTTTTTAGCCTGTACTGTGGAAAGATTCCCTCCCCAATGAATGTGCCTGGTGCAAGTAACCTGCCCAAGATCAAGAGACTCTGATAAGCCAAGGCCAGAGAGTCAAAACCTAAGGAAACAGCAAGAAAGAAATTTCTCAGCTCCAAACCCTTTCCTTCACCCATCGCTTTACTATACCATGGAATCCTCTCAGTCCTTTCTCTAGAGAAAGAAACTTATCAGAGAATTCTTCTGCCCGCTTTTTGACTGCAGGGCTGATAGGCTTTTCAATCCAGAACTTCTTCCGGGGATACCTAGAGAAAGGAAATTCACAGAAGGAACTAGTGAAAGGAAGAATGGTGACATTCCACGGTCCCTCCCCCCCAGCCCCTGCCCAACAATCCCACAGTGGTTTTAAGAGTGGAAGCAGTGCTCAAGTGCTCCATTCCAACACCAGGCAAAAGGCAGCTACATAGTTCTGGAGAAGGGGCCATGACCAAGGATCCTCTACCCATCAACATATCCTTTAGGTATCACATTGAAATATGAAAGGGCCATTTCTGCCTTGAAGACCCTTCAAAACCTACTAGCAAACAAGGAAAAAAATAAAGGCAAAACTCTTTCCTAGAAGGAAAGTGAACTTGAGTTCTCTACTAGAAAAGCTCTTCCTTCTAATCCTTTTCTAGTTCTTATCAAAATTAAAAAAGAGAAAGAAAATAAAGGGATGTACTGTGAGTGGTATAAGCAAATGAACAAGCAAAGAAGCAGCACTTACTTACCTGCTCATTATATCACTTGGATCCTGGGAAGGAAGAGAGATAGATGACAAAGTCACGAACACAACCTTCTCAGGAGCTATCAGCAGCCCCCATGTGGCCCACTGGGGGAATGGCTTCTCCACAGAGAATGAGTCTCATAGCTGGAACCCATTCAGCTTTCTACTACAGTGTTGGTTTATAGAAACACATGCTTTTTCCTGCTTTCCTCCATTTGAATTATGTTGGTTGGTCCCATTTGTTCTGTCTTATTGCTCCTTTAACAACTTCTCTTAAACTCACCCCCCAGAAAGCCAGCTCTCTTCACTATGACACCTTCCTGGTCTCTCTTCCTATTCCTGTTTTTCCCAGCACCTACAACACCTGTCTGGACATACATATGCTAACTTTATTATTGTATACGTTTACCTTTGCATTTACTTTTCTTCTTTGTGCTGGTCCTGGGGCTTGAACTCAGGGCTTGGGGATTGTCCCTAAGCTTCTTTTGCTCAAGGCTAACACCCACAGCACCACTTCTGGCTTTTTCTGAGTAGTTTGTTGGAAATAAAGTCTCCTGACTGACTTTTCCTGCCTGGGCTGGCTTTGAACCATAATCTTCAGATTTTAGCCTCTTGTGTGGCTCGGATTATAGGTAGCTACCAGTACTCAGTTCATTTATCTATTTCTAACCAATGAGTCCAACCTACTTCACCAAGTGGAATGTTGAGCTCCACCTTTCTGAGAATCCAAGTCTTTATATTCTTCAAGACTGATATTAAAAACAACAACAACAAAAAAAACTTCTTCTTTTCTGAAGACCTGCAGGGCTAAACTTTAGCTTTGGCCAGCACTGCTGTGGCCACCAGTCTGGCTGGGTGCTGTAATCATAGATATGCAGACCTTAATACTTCAGTGCATGGTCTGTACCTGCTGTATTCCTATCTTGATTTGCATTTGAAATGTTTCCCATAGCCTCATATATTGGGGTTTTGTTCAGGGATAATGGGCTTTGGGGAATCAAATGGATCCTGAGTGCTCTGACCTAACCAATAGATTAATCCCTTGATAGATTCATAATATGATGGTAATATTTGGAGGTGTTAACAAAATAGGATTGCCATATTGAAGAACACAAAAAATGAGAACATCCTCTTTCTTGACTGTTGGTCCAAATCCCTTGCTAAGGAAGAGGCCATACTACAGCTTGAGCAAAAGGATAGACACAGTTTAACTGGTTACTAACCTGCAAAAGTTCAAGTGCTGGCTGCCGAACTTTCTTCTCTAACTCAGAAATGAGGGTCCCAAGCCGGACCACCTCCTCGGAGCCTTTCGTGATATGGCTGTTCCGCCCATCTATGAGTTCCTGCTCCAGCCCCACCAGCAAGTCCAACAGGTACTGCTCTCTCTCTCTCAAGAATTGATGGCCCTGTTCAAACACTGACACAATGTCTTGCCTGTGGTTCTGGAATTTGGTCTACAGCAAATGCAGGAAGAGAAGGATGATTGCTTCTGAGAGGACAGGAAACACTAGAACATTTGTGAGATCTGGGGAGGAGTCCAGAACAGGAATCCCTTCAGTTCACCTCCCCCAAAACACACCTGCCTACCATCCCAGAGCAGTCCCCCTCCAACCAGCAAACACACACACATACACACACACAAACCCCCCATACACATGTACACCCGTTCAGTCAAGATTTCTCTCACCAACAGAGCTTGAATCTCATCTTCTCCTGTGGACTGAAAATTCTGAATTCTATCCCTGTCTCCCTTCAGAATCTTCAGATGGTTTAGAATTTTACCCTATGGAAATAAACGCAAATAATCTCAAGAATAAGATGAAAATGTTTTCAATAAAAAGGAGGTATAAAACAATTCCACAGTGAAAACTGATATAATTTGATCTCATGTACTATAAAAACAGAGCACCAGGTGGAAACTTGTGCCCATGGTAAATGCTTGTTATCTCAGCTTCATGAGAAGCTGAGATTCAGTAGATGAAAGTTCTAGCCAGGGTACTGGTGGCTCAGGCCTTTAATCCTAGCTACTCAGGAGGCTGAGATCTGAGGATCCAGCCTGGGCACGAAACTCTGTGAGACTCTTATCTCCAATAAACCACTCAGAAAACCAGCTTGAATGCTTGCCTTAAGCTGAAGAGCTGAGGGCCAGCGCCAAGGCCCAGAGTTCAAGCCCCATGACCCAACCAAAAAAAAAACAAGTTTTAGACCAGCTTAGAAGATAAGTCTGTAAGACTCCATCTCCGTGCAAATAAGTTGGGTGTGGTGGCACAGTCCTGTCATCCCTGTTAAGATTGGAAGCCTAAAACAGAGAGAGGGAGGTCCAGGAGGTATGGCTTGTCCTGGTCCAACAAGCACAGGGTTCTAAACACCCCAGTATAAAAATAAATAAGTAAAGCAAGCAAGCAATGGAACAGATTTCACTCTTGTTAATGAAGAAAAATACAGTGAATTTTATGTTGGCTTAGAGCAGTTTCTTTGAAATAATCTGTTATATGGGATTGGGGGTATAGTTCATGTGGTAGAGAGCTTGCCTAATTTATACAAGGTCCTGGGATCAATCCATAGCACCACAAAAGACAATCTATATGACAATTTCTAAGGGTTATGGTGTAGGTTTTAGATATATTTACATTGCTCTTTTCCACACACCAAGTACTGTATCTTGTTGGGAGCTATCTTCTGGTATATATCTATCCCAAGAGGGAAATCAAGATATCTCTGCTCCCAATTCCTTGTAGCTTCATTCATAAGATACGGAATCAACAGCTAAGGAAAATGTACCATATACATATAATAGAACATTAACTAGCCTTGAGGAAAGAAGGTCCTGCCATTTTAACAATATGTATGGACTTGGAAGACATGATGTATATGGAAATAAGCAAAGTATAGTAAGGCAGATATCATGTGGTCTCATTTGCATTCCAAATCTAAAATAGTCAAACTAATCTAAGCAAAGAGTAGCATGGCAATTGCTAGGGGTTGGGGGGGAGATGAGGATGCAGTCAAAGTTTTAGTTATGCAAGATAACCAATTTCTGGAGATCTATAGTATAGCATAAGGTAGTCTAGCTAACCATGCTATACTGTCTTTTTAAAATTTGCGAAGGAGCCAGGCTTGGTGCTTATCTGTAATCCCAGAAATCAAGAAGCTGAAGCTGGAGAATCATAAGGTTGAGGCCAGCTTGGGCTACGCAGTGTGACCACAATTAAAAAATAAAATTGTGGCGGGGATAATGATGGAGGAGGGTGAGATTGATTGGACTACATTGTAAACATGTGTGGAAAGGAAACAATACAATCCCCTGACCCATGTAAGATGAATGCAAGCTAATAAAAAATGGGGAAAAAAGGGTATGTCTTTCAAATGTTATTTCAAACATGCACACAAAAGCAGCAACAATGATGATGACGTGGATGGAGGGAATTTGTGGATCTGTGGATGGTGATGATGTGGTCTCAGGTGTATGCTTGCTGACTGGGATGTCCGGCTTCCACATGTCAATCATGCCTCAAAACAGAGGCTTCAAGAGTGGACATTAACCTAAAGGAACACAAGACCAGTGCTGAGGTCCAAGGTGATTCTTACCCGATAGGACTGGGCAGCCTTCTCCAGGAGGACAGCAGCGTGGTGCCTGTGCTCCCGAGACTCCCGGCACATCACACACAGGATCTGCTGGTCGTCCTTGCAGTAGTAATGCAGCTTCTCCAGATGCCGCCCACACAGGTTCTCGGCTCGTTGCTCAGGTGATCTTTCCTCTCGGGGTTGTCTCTCCTCTTCTACCTTCATCCTCCAGATGTTCTCCACCAGGCTGGCCATCTGCCACACATGGCGGATATTCTCTTTCTTAAAAACTGTCTTGCAGAGAGAACAATATAATGGCTGTCTGGAAGATTCACAGACCTTAATGATGCAGTGGTAGCAGAACACATGGCCACAGTCAATGGTCACTGGTTCTCTCAAGTAGTCAAGGCAGATGGAGCAGAGCACCTCATCCTCCAGGTTCCTCAGAGGGGAGGCAGCAGCCATGATCTTACTAAGCTCAAGACTGGCACAGTGCCTCCAAAGCCAGGAATCACTTTCTGACACGAAGAGGAACATGAAGAGGAAATGTGAGTTTAATAAGCAATCAAAATGGAACCATGAGAAAATACTTTGTATGTAAAATTATTCCTAACCTTTTTTTCCCTTTCAAAATCCAAAGTTTCCTCTAGAACACTAATCAGGACAGGTTTCAGCCTGCAGAAAGAGATAGGTGTTAATAGCAAGCCACCTGCTCCTGGTGTAAGCTTTTCAAAGATACTCATAGATTTAACTAAGTGGAAGTATTCCAGAAGATCATGGAATAATAAATTTCCAATAAATCTAAAGGATTTCTGTCTAGCTCTTAGATAAGCTTAGTTCATAATAATAATTCAATCTGGGCACCAGTGGCTCATCCTGTAATCCTAGCTATTCCAATGGCTGAGATCTGAGGATCATGGTTCGAAGCCAGCCTGGGCAAGAAAGTCTATGAAACTCTTATCTCTAATAAACTACTCAGAAAAAGCAGGAAGTAAATCTGTGGCTCAGTAGTAAAGCTCTAGCCTTGAGCAAAAAGAAGCTCAGAGATGGCTCCCAGTCCCTGACTTTAAGTCTCAGGACTGGCCAAGCATGCATGGGCACACATGTGCGCACGTGCACACACACACACACACACACACACACACACACAAAACACACATACACACACACAAATCAATAGCAGAGAATAAGAATAGAATTTAGGACTACATTTTAAACTCATCAATGAGTATCAGACTTAAGCTACTACAAACTGCTAAGTTCACAGGTTAGTTATTCATATTTTGTCTAGAAGAGCTCATCATTATGTTTTTGTGGTTGTTGTTGTTGGTTGTGGGCCTGAACTCTGGGCCTGGGTGCTGTCCCTCATC